AAGAGAGATGAGCTGAGGACTAGAATTATACAATGTACACAGCACATTTTTAATTTTACCAGTTGGGGAATTTATCTTATATTTCTCAGAAAGAAAGAAAAAAGGTATTAGATAGTTCTCAATGACTTGTGATTGTAGCAAAGAACCAAAGTGACGTTTGCAAACATGAAACTACAAATCTAACAGAACACAGAGTGCTTTCCTCAGTGGCATTATCACCTTGAAATACTATTCTTCCTTCTAAAAGAAAGTGATTGCTACTAATGCATTATCAGAGCTAATAAGGAAAAAAGTCAGATCAAATCAGCGTTGCCAGTTTTTCAAAGAACAGGAGGAAATGCTGCCAACAATCACTTTACATTTAGTGAGACAATTGGGAGGTGGCAACAAGCCACACAGTTTAAAATTATGTTTCCCATTGAGTCTAAATAAATGTGTACACAGCCAGATCAAAAGAAAATGACTTTTACTTTATTTGTTCATTTGTAGTTTTTATATAGTGGTAAATAATTAACATCCAGATTTCCAAAAAAGAAAAATAGCAGATTAACAAAAAGCATTAGAATTATATAGTCATTAATTCTTTTGAAGTGCTGTTTTATACATTAAAAAGTAGATAAACTGAGAAACAGTAAACTTAGTAAGGTTATTAACTGCTTACTCCTTAGTCTGCTTCCAGCTTCAAGGGTGTGGTGGTATTTTATTCTTGACGCTCCTTGTGCCCCTGCAAACTGGTGGCATTACCTTGTATGTGAATTTTTTGGGCATAACTTTTGTCACAAGTACATTTGAAGAATATCAGTTATCTTATCAGTCACTATTTACAGTACATCTCCATGCACCACATATAAATATCCATTCTCTAACTATTATGTGTTTGGCATTGACCAAATATTAAGAGCCAAGGTCACTCAGTCAAAATGAGTTTTCAAGAACCATCCAATAAATCAACTCAAAGAATTATTCACTTGTAAATTATCCTTCTTTCTGGTGGTTGTGAGAATGGTAGAGAATGGTCTGCTGCTACCGTAAACTAGTGTAATAAATAAACAAGATGGCCCCTTGTCAAGAGGTAAAAATTACACCATTGAAAATGCAATTGGGTTTCAGAGACCTTCATACTTAAACTCTTTGCAGAAAGGAGAAACAGTTTTTATAGTTCAGCCTTGAAGGTCACTTTTTTTTTTAAACTGTAATTGAGAACTGAAAACTAATCACTGTTAACTGTCATGACAAAATAGAAAATATATTCACAATTAAAGTGGATTAAGCAGTAAAATTATATGTTGCATTTAGCTATAGGAACTGTGTTTAGCTAATGAAATAATCTATCATTGTAGACAAAACTGAAACTGAAATATTTACTCAGTTGTTAAGAGATGTCCATTATTCACTCATTAGCATATTGAAATATTCACTTTAGAAATGAGGTTATAACCAAAGTAGACAAAATAGAACAGCTAAGCCAAACTGCTTACAATTTAGCAAACATTTGAATAAACTTTAACTATGAAACAGAGCAAATAATTTTGAATCATGATTAATAAAATACAAAAAAATGTATAGCTTCAAGGTGACATATACATTTGATCAAATATACCTAAATCAAAATAAAAGAAAAAAAAGTGCCTATTATTTTATTTATTATTATTATCATCATCATCATCATCATCATCATCATCATTTTGTATTGGGTACATCTCAAGTCTGGTTGCATCTTTTGAATGAAAAGTAACAGGGAGATCCAAGGAGATTCATATCAAAATAAAAAAAAACTGAAAAATAACCAACAACCAAAAGAAAAGTTCTTCACTTAAAGCAGAAGTAGTCTGATACAGCAGCAAGGAATCAAAATGCCCCTGGCTCCTCCACTGAGAGCCTTGGGTTTCAGGAAGAGGTTCACATAGACTTAGAAGTATCTGGGATGCAGGGGAATCTTTGTAGAATGACGGCAGTTCTCCCTCTCCCCGGCCCCTCCTGTACTGACATGCTTGTATTGTAGATAGAACTATTAAAGAAAAGATTAATAACCTGGCCTCGTCTCATAATATTTTCTTTACCTTGTTGCTCTAACTGAAACCTGGCTCTCCCCTAATGACACTGCTTCCACAGCAGGCCTTTCAGGCAGTGGTTCTTTGTCTCCTATGCCCTTTCTACCACTAACCCTAGAAGAACAATATGAAATATTTCAAGGTCACTGCTCATTTTCTGAAACATTTAGTTCTTGGTTCAGCCACGCCCTCTTCCAAGAATTACTCCTGTCTTCACGCTTGGTCATTTCAGTATCCAAGAAGACATATTCTGGTTTATCTTTCTTTCCTTTAGCCTCTTTCTAGTGATCAGCTACCACACTTCCATGGTCATAACTAGCCTGCACATTTTCATGACCAATATCTGCAGTCTTCAAATAATCACATTTTGAATAACCCCACTTGCTGGCCACTGGCAAATAAGTCTTTTGCGTTCACTCACTCTCAACTTTTTGATCTCGTGGAGAAATAATGTCTACTCATCCTCCTTCCTTCTTTTTTGCTCACCTTCATTCCCTTCATATCTTCATTTTATTCCATAACCCAGTTTAGATACTCTGGTCTATCACTCCTTTGCATGCAACCTTCAGCTTCCTGTATCTTATCTAGTTCATTGTCCCTCTCCTAGCAAAGCACTAGCCCTGATTCAGTACACCTCTTCCTGTTTTATGCTTGAATGTCCATCTGAAGGTTGGAAAAAACAACAACAACACAATTATGCTGAATTATCTCATTTAAATGTATATATCTCTTCTGAGCTCTTAATGCTGCCCCAAATACTTACCACATGTTCATAGTTCATTTATTCTTCTTCCCTCCTAAACAAGTGCTGTATTGTTTTTACAATCTAAAAAGACTTATTATATACTCTGCCCTCCTTCACATTTTTATGGGTGTCTTGATCAACAAGGTCAAGTCCTTTCCCCCTGTGCTGCCCTTTCTCAAGAAAATGAGGCCAGCATTCTCCCTTCACTCTCTCTGATCAAATCGTGACTCTCTGCGGGATTATTCTCAGCAAAATAAAAACATGCTAATCCTTCTCAATGCCATACTTACTACCTACCATCAAGTGTTCCCAATTTATCACCTCCCATTCTCTTTGAAACCCTTGTGATCCAGCTTTTTCTTATACCACTTCACTAGAATTGTTGTTAATGAGATCACCAATGATCTCTATATTGCTAACTCTGGTAGTCAATTCTAAATCCTCATTTTTCATGACCAATCAGCAGTATTTAACACAGTGTATTATTCTCTCCTCTTTGAAAGATTTTGTTCACTTGGATTCAAGATATCACATTCATCTTTTTTTTTCTCTTACTTTTAGGGCACTCCTCAGTCTCCTTCTCTGATTTTACCTCTTTGCCCAGTTTCTGAATTTATGAGTACCCCCCAAATCTTAGACATTTTCTCTACTTTATCTACACTCAATCTCTTCATTATCTCATTTGGGACAACTCCCAAATTTATATTCCCAGACCAGATCTCTTCCCTGTACTCTGGAGAAAACTATAGTCAGCTCTACTGTGATGCTTATATTGAAAATGCACATTTGTTCTAAAGTGATTGATATAAAGGAGTCATTTGAAAATAATTGTAATCTACACATTGTTTTGACTTACGGCAATTGTGTTCCACCATGTACATATGTTCCTTAGGTTCAGGGATTTCAGTTTCTTTTTAATGTGTTTATTTAGCTGATTGATTTTTTGTTTGTTTTGTTTTTTGTTTTATCATAGAACTGAACTGTACCAGGCAGAGAGTAGATGGATGCTCAATAAGTATAAGGTAAATGAAATAATAAATGGGTTCAGGAGGTCCTGCAATGTCAATGAGAAACATATGCAAATGTTTTGTACATATGTAATTCTCTGAGGAGAAAGACCGTATTTCTTTTAGATTTTGAACAGGGTCCCTAAATACCCACAAAACCAGAGTTATAATATAATTCTAATAATGACCCATTAAGACATTATTTGACTATCAAAGTAGCTGATGTTATGTAACAATGCTCATATAGTAATCATAATCCTAAAATAATGTGTTTATTTGTGGATTTTAGAAAGTAAACCCAATTGTTTAAAAATAATAGAACTTGGCATTTAAAATGGCAATAGTGCTAATACATTTGTTTTTGTTGATTATATTTCTTTCAATTAAAAACAAAACTCTTCATGTCTTCATTGCAAACATAACATACTTTTATCATAACACATTTGGACTCAGAAAAGCAACTTGTAAATATTTTTAATTCTATC